CCACCTTATGTTTCCATGGCAACCCCACTGGAGTCAGTCCAGAAAGCTCGAAGTCTTAATTACTAAATTTCGATGTCGTGTCCCCCCCCCCTAAACCTGTATCTACACAGAGCTGGTCAGACAACATCACCCCTCTGCGCATTCTGCGGAGAAATGGAATCACTAGATCATTATTTTTTGTATTGTCGCCGCTGCGAGATACTTAGAAAAAGGTTACTAGTTATGCCATTTCGGAAAATAGGCCTTAGATTGACGGCGGAAACGGCGCTAAGCTTTGGCGCCTCAGCTCTGCGACATTGCCACAGGGATGCTTTCAATGCCGTTTGCGATTATATTTAGGCAACCAAGCGTATACCTTTGTGATCTTCAATCAAAAAAAATATTTATTACTCTCAAGGGCAGAGTGAAGTAAACGCAGCTGAGTGGTAAACATAACACCTCAAATCTCAAAATTGCTCAACTTGATTTTTTTTTCGTTTGCTCTTTTTATGATGTTTTTATGTTTACATTAGTCTTATTATAATACCAATTCATTGCACATAGTTAAAATGATCACAGAAAAACTGCACTACACTTTCTTGGCCAATCCCCCTGAGTGGGTATGAGCCAACCTCCCAGGGAAACAAAACAAAACAAAAAACAAATGGAGCGTTTGGGGCGTGCCTTGACTGAATTGGAACAGCCGCCAATAGACGCGTTTATGCAACTGTGCTCTGGGAAATAAAGTAGCCCTGTTTTCCATCTTTCCAACGAGGGGGCTTCCTTTATTCCACATTTGATTGTACCGAAACCCAGAATTTGTGGAACGAGCGGCCCCACAACGAAATGACTTCCATACCTACGAAGATGGATCGCATCAATGGCAAACGAGTTAGTTTAGGGCCCCGGCGCTTCTAGTTCTACGCGGCTGACTGAAGAACTGCAACGACGGACTACGCGTGCTGAATGAAGAGCTAAAGGGACTCCTGAGGGGGAGCAAGCTGCTGAGGACTACCTATCAGTCTCGGACTATGAAGACAACGCAGCAGCAACATTGTCCCTTTTCTCTTAACATATCGAGCAACTTCAGCCTGAAACGACAGTGGTCTTAGACCTGCCGATACTGAACGATGGTGTAAACCCAGGTACAAGTTTAGTTCATTGTTCAGTCGATGATTCTTCAAGACTGGTTTCCGGTGCTTCAAGGCTACCAAAGTGTGACTTTGTGCACTTCAATGAAGCAGTGCTACAGTGGCAGCCGTTCTGGAACGTGTTCAAGCATGCCGTCTATACAAACGCTGGCATGACCAACATCGAAAGATTTCACTACCTGAAATCCCTTTCGGCTGAACCAGCGGCCAAATCAATCGAGGGAAATTCTAGTGACAGACTCGTCATATGCAGATGCCATCGAAACCCTGACCAACCGTTTCGTAAACGCGAGAATCATCGAGCAAAAGCACTTGGAGAACCTTAGAACGCTCAAGTCCGTACGAAGTTCCACTCTTGTGACGGCCTTGAGAAACCTCCTGCACATGGTGACCATAAACGCGAGAGGTCTCAAAGCACTTCGACGATCGCAGGTTTGATACGCTGCGATGCTTCTCGAGATTCTGGTCAAGGTGATGCCTAATGACATTGTGGTAGTACACTATAAGCAACAGAACTCACCGATGAGGCCCTACGAGACTCCTTCATCAGAGTCATAGCTACAGCAGCTGTCTGGCCATCCGTGGCTGGAGGTTGAAGCCCGTGAGAAATGCGGGCGACACGAGTCCTGTGTTCACGACACACCTGAAGGAAGGCGTGACAGGAGGCGCAGTGCAATGTCTACCACTTTAATTTTGCACAGACGCTCTAAAACGACGGGTACTTGTTTTTTTCAGCCTTTCAATGGCCTATACTACGTAGGCGTGCACTACTACTTAAAGTCTGCATGACAAGAAGAGCCGTCTACCAGATCGGGTAGATGTTTCAAGTGCACATTATCAGGTCACCACTCAAAAGATTGCCGCCGCAGCATACGATGCGCTAATTGTAAAAAGAAGCACGCAACAGCTGTTTGTGACCCTAACTATGCACGAACTAAGAAATCAAGAGAACGCTCTAGCCCAAGCTTGCGTGATGCCACTCAAGCCCCTCCACACAGCTTGTTTAAGACCGAAGTATTGCTGCCGACATTTCGAGTATAGGTTCTTGGAAGCCACTGTTCTTGCTTTATAAGGGGAATGCTAGAGAACGGAAGTCAAAGATGTTCATCAGGTAGAATATCGCAAAAACGAAGTCTGCCGATACTTAAGAAGGTAGAAGTAGAAGTGAAAGCGTTTGGTGGTTCGAGTTGTGCGCCAAAGAAGCAACTCAGCTTAGCCAAGGTGATGTTGATGAGACAGTTGGACAGCGCGAAGCACGAAAACGAAGCGTTCGAGGTACCGTTTATTTGTGATCATTTTATTGAACCTTCTTCATCACACTCTTTTGTGCAGAAGCTGGTTGCGGAAAACAAGTTAATTACTGACTCTGTATCACTTCGTGGCCTAGAGACAGAAGTCGGCCTTAGCCTACTCATTGCAGCCGATCAAATGTGGAAGCTAGTACTAAACGAAATTTGCCCTCACGAGGAAGTTGCAGGACTAGCGGCGATGAACACTAAGCTTGGTCATTTCAAGGACACGGTCCACGCGCTTGTTCGCGGGCCAGTGTTTGTGAGAGACTTAAAAGATGGTAAGCTGTACATTGTACTGTTCACATGCACAGTCGTAAGAGCCATTCATCCTGAGTATGTTGTTGGGCTTACCGCAAACGCTTTCCTCATGACATCAAACGATTTTGCGCAAGATGTAGTATACCGCAAATAATATACTCAGACAAGGCTGCTACATTTAGGAAAACTGCACGTGAATCAGCTTACATGTACCAGCCGTTGTGGAAGGAAGAAGTGAGCTGGTATTGCTCCTTTCTCAGCACCCCATGAACATTTGTTGCATACCGAGCTCCTTGGTGGGGTGGTTTTTGGGAGCGGTTAGTTCGTATAGTCCCGATGTGTCTTAATGATGCATTGGGCAAGGCGTCTGTTGATTCACGGCAATTGAGAACTTAGAATATGAAGCTGATGTTAATTCCAGACCAATTTCTTACATTAATTCATCCCCCAGAGAACCAGCAATCTTGACTTCGCCTCATTTTTTATTAGGCAGCCATCCCTTTGTTAAAATCTAACACTTCAGATGTACGGATGAAAACGAATACAGAGCTGCTCAGTTTGTGGGTTAACAGGCATCTAATTTCAGAAAAACTGTGGAAGTGATGACTTCGTCAATATCGCCTCACACTCCGAGCGTTCACTCAAGGAGAGCATCGAAATTTGACAGCGTAAAGAAGAATGTCGTGGTGAATATTCACGAGGACGATGCTGCCAGATTGTTCTGAAAACTGGCGTAGTAAGCGAATGCGTTCAAAATAAAGGTGATATGGTTTGGTCATGTAAAGTAAGAATACCCGATCGCTCTGAGCTATTAAGGCCTGTACAGAAACTGTACCTTCTAGGACTCGCCACCTCAACCTCCGGTGTGTGTTAAATATTATAAAAAAATGATGATGAAGTGACTAACGCGTGGAGCGTGCGAGGCGTGCCTTGACTGCTTTTGAATGGCCGACAATGGACGCGTGTATGCAACGGTGCTCGTGGCAACAAAGTCGCCCTGCTTGATATCTTTTCAATGAGGAGGCTTCCTTTTTTTACACTATTGTCTTTCGACGACTTTTGTAGTGAAAGATTATATGGGGCCGACTGTTTTGTTGCACTTTACTAGAGGGTGCGCGAAGGGGCCACTTTACTGTGTGCGTGTAGAGACATATTTCAGATTGAAAAAAAAAGGAAGGTCGAAAAATTGCGTAAAAGAGAACACGCTCAAGCTCTTCCGAGATCTGCGTACAGTCAGGGGTAAACGGTGCGTATACTTAGCTTGTCTTCATCATGCCGGAGGGTGCGGGGCGCTGGTTCAAGTTGTCCAACGTGATGTTCTGTGGGTCGAGGGGTCACAGGTCGAGTGGCTTTACAATGTTCTTCTTCGTGCCTTTTTAAGTATATGCATACATGTGAAGTCGAAAGTTCTATGGAAGCCTGTCTGGTCGGAAAATTCATGGCGGATATTCGTAAGCCCCCCGACCAATCGTTGAAATAGAAGAGAAAGACGTTTCAAGCCTCGCTAGGGAGGCATTTTTCACAAAAAAAGTTGTGAACAAGACCTTCGTAGTGGGGCCGAAACGTCTTTCTGTTTTATTTGAACGATTGGTTGGGGCTTCCTGACTACTGCCTAGCGTACATATATAAGACACGATGTTGATGGTTACTGCGACGGCAAAAATCCACCGAGAGTGTCCATGGAATCGCTGCCAAAAACGTTCATTGAGTACTTCAGAATGCTGCAAAAAGAACTTGATTATATTACAAAATTACAAAAGAATTTCATTGATCACAAGCAATCGACTACTTGGAACACGTTACGTATAATTATACACTGAATCAGTCCAAGTCAGGTAGAGAATTTCGTAGCCAGTTTTGACTAACCACAGCTTCATAGGAAGATCTTGAGGCATGGTATTGAATAATACAGCATTTTATCACGTAAAACCCACCCATCTATGAAAACCGAACCCTCAAATACAAAAACCACGGAGAAAAAAAATTCCGCATGTAGCCTTGAAACTGCATTAAACACAATATTGTGAAGCTGCGCCGTGCAACCGAAATGTGAACTGGAACTGCCATCGATGATTAGGCAAGTTCACGAAAAGATTTTTTATATAAATTTTTATGCAAGATTTATTTAACGCACACTTGTGCCAAACAGAAGTCCGCATCTCGTTCTTCGAGAGCGAAAGGAAGAGACACAGAAAGGTAAAAGAAATGCAGGGCTCTTAACTAAAAGAGACCTCCAGCCTTGTACTGGAAAAGGGGAAACGAGGTGCTGAAGAATGAAAGAGAAGGCGAAAGACCGTAACGACCACCTACGGAGACGTACCTGTCGATGTGGTCGACGGGCGTTCCGTCGCCCATGTAGCCGCAGAAGCAGCCGTAGCCTCGGTAGCTGAGTGGGTTGCAGCCGGACACGCACTTAAGCATGCTGGCCAACTGGACGATGCTGCGCCGAGCACGCGCACCCGCGCGGTGCCGCTCGCCCTTGTCAGCCACGGGCAGCAGCAGGCCCTCATGGCGCAGCCCGGAAGCCTGCTTCTTCAGCAGCCGGCTGCTGCCACCGGAATCGGACCTACGCCTGGAGAGCGCCCGGCGCTCGATCATGGCCGGCAGCAAACCTGCGGTTGAGGTGCAACGGCATCGTCTATTTCGGGCGTTGGCTAAGTCCCGATACGGTTCCCGTTAAGTCGAATTCCTGTGTACTTTTGCAAATGACATCGTAACCCTCTCTGTTCTAATGACATGTGCAGTAATCAGTGGACCATATGCTTTGCAGCAAACATCTGTAACGCGCAAAAACTATCATCAATAGTAATCTCTAATATCTGATCGCCATCAAGTCTTTATCGCCATCACGATGTTTTTACTGTGATTGCATTATTACATTATGTTCAATGTTATCGTGATTTTGCTACTCTATCTAGTGATCACATGCTTGCCCTACTAATGATTATATCCCAATTTACTTATTATGTTACAAAGATTATTTATTATTTCTTAATCCGTTGCTCCTGCTGCCCCTCTGTGGTAAGGCCTAATCAAGAGGTTTAAACTTTCCATGTGGGTTACCTCGCAGGCAAACCCTTTATATGTGTATGCCCAAAATAATAAATAAATAATTAGTAAATGAAAAGTCATATGACGTGATCTGACATGTTGATACAGAAGATAAATGTTATATTCGTAATATTTCGCAAAAACATGAATTGCACGTATTTATTATCTTCAAAGAATGCTAACTAAAACATGTTAGCTGCCCTGTGGTCGGAAAAAAAGTAGCCTCGAGTATTTTAACCCAAGATAGTTCCATAAATCGTTTCACGAAAAATTCCGGTGTCAACCTTGTTGGTTGTGAGCGAAAATTCGAGATAAGAAGCTAATAAATAAATAGTTCAAAATGACCAGCTGGATTAGGAATCGAACCTAAGACTTTGGTGTTGCAAGAAGCTGCTCTACCACCGAGTCACGCGCGTTTCTCACTTAAAAAGAGTGTCAAAAGAGAATCATGGCTTTCTCAGGGCCTTCGGTTCTCGATACCGCACCTTTTGAAACGTAGAACCAGAACGTTTTAGTCTGCTTTTCAGCAAGAGCCATTTTAGTCTCGTGACGGGTGTTTATATTGGTTTCTGTTTTGAAGACGCCGCCGTATATGCACCATATGCATCACGTGGCTAGCGTTCAGTGCCGTTCTGTTCTGCTACACAACGTACGCGACGGTGCCAGAACGAGCTGCGGCTAATGGTGAATGTATCACCTTTGTCGGCACTAATTATACAGCTTCAGCTGGGTGCTTGCACCTACACTGCGGAAGAAGGCTGCCAGCTATTTTAAATGGCAGCCTGCGTTCCCGGGGCTGGTGCCGACAGCCACTAAAACCGTCTGTCAAGGAGCCGAGACCATCATGCGCGCTGTTGTACAAGCTCCCACAGTATGAGAGAGGCAATCGACTGCCAAGAGTGATATTTCGATGATCGCAGATTGTGCCTGCACTGCTAAAAGCACGAGACGTCATTTTGAGATGCGTTTTTGTGTGAGTCCTAGTTTGCATCAATACTGAGTGTGAAGCATGCCTCCACATGTGAAAAAGAGTAAAAAAAAAACATGATATGGCAGCCTCACATAGTGCTGCCAAGCCTAAAATGCGTCGCCTTGCTTGTTTCTCTCAATTCTTTCTCTGTGTCTGTGAGATTTCTGTTTTGTAATACATTAATTCTGTGAACTTCTTGCTTCTTTTTTGGCTATTTCTATTGCCTGCTTTCTATGCACCTTTTCCTATTTTTCGTTGTTTCATTTGATTTCTTTCGCTGACTTCATGCATTCACTCATAGCTTGTGCCACTTGAAAAACTTGGTGACCGCCTTGTTTTCGTGCATTATTTTGTTATTACTGACAAAGCATTCAAGCGATGCACTCATGCCGCATGTGTGTGCAGTTACCGTGTGTTGCACGAAAGGTCACAGTAAGTCGAAGTAACTAGTCTGCGCATGTTGGTTGTCCTCGGGATCCCGGTTCGCTGCCGCGATGTCTGCACTTTGACAGCCACACTCACAGAAACGAAGGTGCAGCTGTGGCTTGTTGCCTTGCCACTCGTATTGGGAAAATCATCAGCGCTGTTTGCTTCGTCAACGAGGCACTCGGTTCTGCAATCCGCTTGGTTGTACAAGACGTCGGAGAAAAACACGCGAGTAGCACCAATGCAAAGAAGTCAAAAACGATTTCGGTCGTTGTTTAAAGCCGGGTGATCGAAACGAAAGGTAACGACAACAAAACAAAATACTCAGAATCTTGGCACATTCAAGCTTTTGGTGTAGATACTTTTGCTGTAGAGACTTTTTATTTTTATGATTTCACCCAAGCAGACAGATTTCTCTCAAATATATTTCCTTGTAAATTTTTTTTTTGATTCGAATATGAGGTACTGTTTTTCAGATAACTTCTTTCATGACAACTCACATTGAACAAGAACAACACAAAAAGTCACAAGTCGGTTGCCTCCAGCGATCACCACTTTTTGATTTATCCATATTCTCAAGAAATAAAGATGAAAACACGGTGCGTACTTCTGCAGTGTATTTTGCAGCTTGTGAAATAGGCTCATCACAGTCACACGCTTTAGTTTGCTATACTGATACAAGCATAAAAATGAAGAAAATAACTCAACTGCTTGATAGCAAATTACAGACCTGCTTTTAACGCTCCCCATTATACTCTACTATATGAGCTGCATGAATTATTTTGATGAGTTTTAATCAAATAATCATAAAATTGAACCAACACTTTTTTTGCAGTCACGGCGAACAACGACAAATATTATTAAACTTGCTTAAAGCAAATACTTACTTGCTTCCAACAGTAGCCGCATGATGGAGCATTACCAAAACCATGTTAGATCATTACCAAGTAAAAATCGTTCTAGAGTTGCTTGACGCTTCGGTGTGTGTAATTTCACCTACTTAGAAATGTTCCCGACATGAGTCATGTGAGTCGCTCAAAAGTGCTAGTGTTATGCCTGAGTCATTTCGCTACTCCTAAGAGATTCAAGGTGCTCAGATAAAGCGCACCGACTCTCAGCTACGTGGAGTTGGTTCTCTTCAGAGACAGTCGTAGACGTGGGAAGTCAGGTCTCAGCGAAAAGAGGCATACATAACCTTGTTTCTTTATGAGAATGTTGCCACAAGTTGGTAAAAATATTTTGTTCGAATGTCATGTTTTGTGGAGAGACTCCTTAAAGCTTGTTGTATTACGTGGGGGAAGCGTATATTTGCACCAGTTGTTAAAAAAATGTGGATTGCGCAACAAGTGGTTGGTTTAAAACCTCACCCATTACAAAACGCTCAGGCATGATTAACATCATCAGCAGAAACGAGGCAACTTGCACACCAAGTCACCTTTCGCACATGTTGACACTCGTTATTGACGTCGATTCGCGAAACTGCGAATAATTGTGTAGTACATAGGAACTTCGCAGAAGTGTTTGCAATAGGCTTTCTAGGATACCATGGAACCCTTCCCTAGTGGCATGGCTGAGGTGTCTATTGCAAAGTGAGAACTTGCTAGGAATTGAGGAGGCGACGTCCACGCGGCCTTAATATGCTATCGTGTTTTACTGCTGCAGGCGACGCTCAAGCGTCTTGCAAGTTTTTCTTTTTATTTTTATTTATCATATACTGCGAACCATTTAAGGTCCAAGCAGGAAAGGTACAGCAAGTTCGAAGGCAAAATAAAGGTACAACAAAGTTACAACAAAATTTATACTGGTATGCACGAAATGTAAGAAAAACATAGAAATCACCATCAAATTATACTCGTTTCCAGAGGGCTGAGTACACCCACTGCAACAATCCATAAGCAAAGCACCACACTCTTAGGCACACAACAAGTTGTTAAATCAAACAAGTATTGTGAAAGCCAGGAAACACAAGGCGCATTTTATGGTGAAAAGGAAAGAAGAGTAGAGTTTCGGGGCAGCAAGTTCCACTCAGAGATTGATTTCGGGGAAAAAGAGTGTTTGTATAAATTAGTTCTTGCGAAAATTGGCTTGATGCTACAGCTGTGTTTGTGACGGGAAGGCCTGGAAGAATCCCTTACCATGTAGTTGTCTGGCTTTATTTCGAGTTTAGAAAAATATATTAGACAGCATATGCTGTCGGGCAAATATAGTCTGGCAGCATATGCAACGGTAATGATTGTTTATTACGATCTTCGAACAAGCGTATGCTGCCTCCTTGTGGTATGTTTTTGCGCAATCCATGACTAACTTAATTTATATCCCATCAATCGCTTTACTTAGTGAGTTTTATTTCTACTTGATTATTTTCCCTAATACAACAAAGTGAAATCACATGGAAAAGGCGCGTAATAATAATTGAGGTGGTTTAACGTTCTAAAACCCTGATACGTTATGTCAGGGGCTAGAGAAAAGGGCTCCGAAAATTTTGACCACTTGGGTATCTGTAACGTGCACCTCCGTTTAAGTACACAGGCCTCAATCATTTCAGCTCACTCAAAAATGCGGCCACCGTGGGCCGGATTCAATCCCGCGACCTGCAGAACAGCAGTCGAGCCCCATGATGACTGTGCCATTGTGAAAGTGTCGACCATGGGGACAAGAAACATATTAAAGCAAACGACGGCATCGACTTGACATGGTACCGTTCCCGGATGACGGAAAGGGCGTGGTGCCATTTGCGATAACGATGATGAAAACGTTTTTTTTTGTCGAGTTTCAAAAAAGTAGAAAAAAAGAGGGTCCCTATTACGGGACAGCTATGGCAATTTGTGCGACAGCTCAGGCCCGCTGAACGGGCCCCTCAGAGACCTTGGGAGCGCTGTTGCGAAGCGTGCCTTCCCACCGCTCTGGGGTACGGGTGGATTGAAGGAAATGTGCAGGGGGATGTAGGCAGTGGTGAACACACACACATAGTTCTATACATGAGCACAACTACAGCGATAACAGTAATTAGAGTGATTTAAGTTAACGTGAAAAAGTAAAAAGTATGAAAAAATTATGGGCAGCATGACGACTCGCTCTTCAAGAACAAAAAAAAAAGGTCATAGAGATGCAATAATAACCTAAATACACACACACCAGCGAGCATATAGGTATAG